CAAAATGTGGTCTGTGGAACTGTGGGGTTTTCTGACACCCTTTGGGGGGACCATTAGGTCAAAGCCATTTCATAAGAGTACTACGATGTTATTTGCCTTTTTCATTGTGCTGACGTGTGCAGTGATGGCGCAGAAGCCACGGTGTGCCGGTGCCGTAGCACACATCAATGCAGAGCACCCAACTGTCCTCTGCTATTGCACACCTTATTGCCATGCAATCTTAAACAAGAAAAGAAAGAGCAATTTTACTTAGAAACATCCTTGAGAAAGCAAGCAATACAAATTATTAACTTTATTGAATCTTAACCTTTATGTATGGGTCTTTTTAATACTTTGTGTGACAAAAATAGGAATTTTGTATAAAATACTTTTGTCACATGTATTGTCTAGAGGAAAGAACACTGGTGTGATTAAGTTGCCTTGAATTAGATGCTTTTTTCATGAAACACCATTTTTACTTGACAGAGTGGCACACAAACTATAGTAATTCAGACTTGGGTATTTGACACATGTTTTGTCAAAAATGAACATTTGTTGCCAATGATAAAGTTCAAGCTTTCAAACAAAAAACAAAATTTTGGAAAACTTGTATTTGCCTCTGTTGAATTTCACAGCATTCCAATACTGAAACTGAGATCAGTGGCAATATCAATATGATTTTTTGATACTGTACAATGAAAAGTGTCTGCATTTACAAAGTTCCTCATGAATGTATATTCTCCAAAAGACAATAAGCAGCTACATGTAACTGAATGGTCTGTTTTCCCACTCCCATGCCACCTCCTTGGCTTCCTTCATTTCACATGACTCAAATCTTGTTTTGAGTCTTTCATTTTCCTGTTGTATACAGTTTTGTACATCTATATGTATTCCTAAGCATGTGTGCATGTTGTATGATATACATGTGTGTCAAATTATGATTTTTAAACCATATGTAATCTTTTAATGATTTTGTATGATGTTATAAAATCAAGCATGGGTAAAAGATCTATTCAAAAATCCAGACAGACCAAAGGATTTCAGTGTAACAAAGTATAAAATATTCAGATTTTAGATTCCACACTGCAGTCATGCTTTAAGAAACCACCACTTACTACGTTTTGGTGTGGTATCAAAGAAAGTCCAGAAGGCTATTAAAATAGTCCTTTCTGTCTTTATTATTATCTGTATGACACTGGATTTTCTTCAGTGTACATTAACCAAAAGAATGTTTTGCAACACATTGAGTGTGGAATATGAGAATCCAGTTATCTTCTCTAAGCCAGATGTGTAAGAGATTTGCAAAAATGTAGAATAATGCCATATTTATACATAAAAATTTAAAATATATATAGTTATTTTTCATAGAAATATGTTATTTATATTAACATTTGCTGTTTTAAAATTAGATGGATATTTTATAACTTTCACAATTTTATTTATTTTTTTGGTGGCTGGCAGGCATGGGGATCTGAACCCTTGATCACGTAAGTTTCACAGTTTTAATCTCTAGTATAGTGGATATGCATAGATATAATGCACACAAACAAAAGCTCTTTGGGGTCCTCAGTAATCTCTAAGAGTGAGAGGGATTCTGAGACCGAAAATTTGAGAGTTCCTGGCTATAACATATTTAACTGTATTCCCTAATAGGAGGGGATTTTTGGTGGTTGGGGGCTGGGGGAGGTTGATTTTCTTGTTTTAACAGTTAAGCCCTTTATCTGTACTGTAGTGGACATCTGTAAGTACCAAAGAAGACACTAGACTTTTATGAAGAGTAAGTAGATTAAAAAATATGTAAAACTTCACAGCCATCATCGTAACTCCTACAGGCCAGATAACTTTCACTTTACTTTCTTCTTGACCTTTTCGTAAGGTTGTTTGGTTATCCATCCACCCACCAAACATGTGAATCAAGCAAATACAGCCATCCCTAAGTATCTGTGGGGATTCCAGGACCCCAGTGGATACCAAAGTCCTCAGATGCTCGAGTCCTTATATGAAAATGACATATCGTTTCCGTATAACCTACATCTCCCGTGTACTTTAAACCACCTCTAGATTACTTATGATACCTAACACAATGTGAATGCTATGTAATTAGTTGTTATATTGCATTGGTTTTGATTTGTACTATTTTTAATTGTTGTATTATTATTTTTTAGTGTGCATATGTGTTGTTTTCCTGAATATTTTTGATCTGTGATTTGTTGAATCTGCGCATGGGGAACCGCAGATTCGGGAGGCAGACTATAATAATATCCCTCTTGTCTTTCTCCTACCTCTTTTTGTACATTGCTACCAATTGTGTGGCTCACAGGCCCTGACCTAGGAGTTCAGGCTTTCTAGCTTTCAGGCCAGGAAGGAGTGGTAGAATTGTTTAAAGTGTAGGTCACTTATGGCAGTAGGTACTCAGGGGACATATGTTGATAGATGCTCACTACCTGTGTACTGCCACGATGCCCAGTTTTCTGTGGCAGTGATAGCAGGTAAATTGGGAGAGGTTTTATTTCCCCTTATTTTTGTGATTCTTTTTGTGTCCCCTGCATCTCAGATTACAACAATTTCCTGTGGGATTTTACTCTTGCCAGGACTACCTCTAACTTAATAAGTTATTAGCAGAGATGGGAAGGGAATTACATTTTTATTGAAGGGCTGCTCTGTTCCCTGTACTAGAATGTCTCATTTAGTATTCCAGCAGCTCTTTGGGGTGATATCATTGTTTTTTACAGTTAATGGGACAGAGGAGGAAGAGTCAAAGAGGTGAAAGAGCTAAAAAACAAAAGACAACTTGTAGCTCAAGGTCACAGCTGTTCGTCTGCTAAGATCCTCCTTTTTCCACTATGCCAGATGGTCTCTATAAAAATCTTAGTCCCAATAATATTGACTATTTTGTACAATGTGATTATTGCTGTTGTTATGTAAACAGCTGTCAAGGAGCCAACCAGTCGTACATACTCTTGCATCTCCAACTTGTATTTATATATAAATCACGATTTTTGACAGACATGGTCCTCTCCTTAGGTCAGAGACAAGGGAGCGGGTAGGTGAAGGAGCCAGATCCCTTTTTTCTTTAAGTCCCATCCTTGGCCTTTTTTAGCTATGGGATCTTGTTTGAGTCACTGAACCTCTGTGGACCCCAGTTTCCTAATCAGTGAAATAGACTCAATAATAGAAGTCCTTTCCCACTGTCATTTGGTTGCTGGAAACACCCAGCAAAGTGACAGTAGCTCTGTAAAGGCTTTAAGAATGGGGTAGGGTACCCATGGGAGTTTTAGTACTTGGGATTGCTAACTATAAGTCTTGGATCTCATGATCATGTAAAAATTATGTAAAATATCATTAGTGGTTTTCTCCTTACCCCTTGACCTCTGGGGTTGCTTTTTGAGACTATGTCTCTTTTTAATTAGGTTGAGTCATAAAATCGCTGATATTTGACATCTTTAACCTAAAAAAATGACAACTTCATATAATTAATGCTAATACATTTAAAAGTTATTAGTAAAATGACAAATTGATGATTAAAAAAAATCTTTATCAGTAGGAAAGGGGATATGGCAAAAAGCAGATAATCTTAGATTTTGGTTATGTTTTTCAAAACAAACTTTTGCTCTGAGTTTTCTTTCTTAGGCTGTCTTGATTCCATGTGTTGATTCCAAGCAGCCTGTGAAGTGTTTTGTGTTGAGGAAGCACTAAAGGCAGTGAAGTGTCTTCCCCTGTGATGGGTGGGGCTGATGTGGAGCGTTGGCTGCAACAGGGATGGGAGTTGCAATGCTAATCTTATTTTAATTATATTAACTGGGGATATATTTTGTTTTGTTTTTCCTTTCGTGAATGCTTGAAGTGGGGAATACTGGCAAGAAAGTTGGTAGATGTGAAAATGAACTGGAGAATCTTAAGAGCTTGTGTTCTCTCCATTTAGAGAGCCATTTGAGGAGAAGAGTCACAGTTTTTTAAAAATACTAAATTTAGTGGTTTATAACATTTTTCAGTGTGGGGGAGCTGAGGTTTATAAATTATTCTCTAAAGCTCTCTCTTCCCTCAGTTGCAATGTTCTTATAACTTCTCCAGAAAATGAGGCTCTTTTTTTTAAAAAAATTGTTTTTTGGGGGGCGGGGGGCTGGGAAATAAGTTGGACTGGATTGTAAGCATAAATTAAGTTTTAAAATTATCTATTAGCCAAGATTTCATGGAATTTACTATGTAATATCTAGAAAAACAATAGAATAAATTTTACAAGTTATACTTTTTTGTCCTTGCCACCCACAGGTTAAAACTAAAAACACTATGAATGCTTGATATTTAAATATTTGTTAAATCTCAGAGGAAGAAATCAGAAGTTACAAATCAAGGAAATGAAAATCAAGACCTAAGACATTAATAAAAAAAATAGTAACTCTGAGACCTACTGAATTTATAGTTTTTTCGTTTAAAAATAAATTGTGGCTCACCATTAAGTAGATACCAGTAGCTCAGGCATTTGTTTCTGGGAAGACTTTAAGAGCTTCCTTGCATGAAGTACTTCATGTTTGGTTTCAGTTTTTGTGGGGTTGTGGTCTTTTGTGTTCTTAAACTGAACTTTCTGTTTTTTTCTTTTCTTTCTTGAGCATTTTGATTATTTATTGGACTGCCTTTGCTCTGAGGATTATATCATAATCAGCCATACTGATCCACTTTACCATTATCAAATACTCATTTTTAACTTACTATCCACATACACACAGTGCTGTCCTATAACAGGTTTACACATTTTTTAAGATAGGAATTTCCTAATGCCTAATATACGAGCCCCATGGAAGAAAATTGCGCTTCATCAAATTAAAAAAGAATATTTATAGAGAAAATTTACTGGACTTAGTTTATTCTTTGAACTTGGAAAAGTCAAATCTTTCCCTAAATCTGTCACTCTATTCATTAAAAAAAAAGAATTTAGGAAGTCAAGAGCACAAAAAACTATTTTACATTGGAATCATGAATATACTTTAAATATACTCTGCATTGGATGGAATTTTCTCACTTACCAGTTTTTTCCAGTCTTTTCTGATCTCTGTAGGCAAGATTGGATCAGCAACTGAATATAACATCTGGCGTTGAAGGAAATAGACTCAGCTTTCTGGTTGGACTGCTGGTGTGGACCAGTGGGAAATGCTGCATTAGCTCTGAAAACCAAAACATTTAAAGTGCTCTCTGAAATGCTGACATCTTGCCAAATGCTTGAATGTCAAGTGCTACAGATGTCCAGTGTTCTTTGGAGCCCAGCTCTAATATTGCATGTACCTGATTTGGATTTGCTTAGTGTTATAAATTATCAAAGCCTGACCAAATAGTAAATAGTATGAAACCAGGTATGGAGAAAGAGGGAGAGAGAGAGAGACCCAGCAAGTGAGAGCTCCAGCAGGAGGAGGATAGGTTTTTCCCAGGCTGAGTTGTGACTTATCCATGAAGCTGTTGTAATAATAGCTTCTGTATTTATTGTGAAGTATTTTCAAGTTGTAATTCACATGGGTTCAACTAACTCCTTGAAACTTGTTGGAAAACTGAAAAATATTTGAGAGTAAAACATACCTGCACATTTCCCACTTTCAGTACCAGGGGAGGAAGCAGGAAGGCCGTGCAAGTAGGTGTTAACCTGAGAGACTTGATCAGTGCAGGGCAAGATAGTTATCGAAAGAGAGGAGACATTGAAGGGATCCCAAGATTGTCTCCTTTGGAACGTGGGTGACTTACTTTCCTGGCCTTACCCTGTTCGAGGGGTGGACTTGATGCATGAGGGTGTGCTGTCTACTCCAGCTTTTATCGTGACACATTCCCAACCTTGAGCTGGTGCTTGTGGGTCTCTGATACTTCTTCATTTTACACCCTCAACTTAAATCTGGTTTCCAAAAACCCTGTTTCTGTCCTGGGTTATTACTAGACCCCAATTTCTGGATATTTTCTTATTTAACAAGTTACTTCTGGTGTCCTTTACTCTTAAATTATACTCTGGTTTAACACAATCACGATGCTAATGCACCTCTCAAGAGGAAGGGCCCAAGTCTCCTACACTCTTATCTACTTTACATTCATCCAGTTTAGGACCTTTATCATCAACTTTACTCATTTTACCAGTTTCTTCTCCTCTGTCCTAAAGAAGCGTGCTCCTTATCAATCATGCCTGTTACTATTATCAAACAAAATAAAACAAAATCAAAAGCTCAGTGCTCTCCCTTAACCTTAAGTCCCCTTTATTAGCAGCCATCCAAACTGTAACTTTGTCTTTATCCAAACCTATTGACAGATGGTCTGCATTTGCTGTCCCCACTTTCCTGTTCACTCTGCAATCTATTCCCCTCTCACTTCTCTGCTCAGCACTTCTCTCAACTGCCCAGAGTCCTCTTCACTGCCCGTTGTTCAAAGCTTTCACCCCTGCCCCTACTCTCCAAGTTAGTTACGGCGGAGCAACGGCAGTGTGAGGTGCATTTTGAGGGGGTTAGACCATGTCCCATATCCAAACACACCACCTGTTCTCCCTCCCTGGGCCTTTATTAGGCTGTTTCCTAGACCTGGAATGGGCCCTCTCTTCTATCGTTACCTGTCAAATTCTTGTACATCCCTTGAAATCCAGCTCAGACTCGCCATTCTGTGGAGCTTTCCCTTGATTTCCCACTAAGAGTGAATGAATGGATTCCCACTCTAAACTCTTTTAGTGCTCAATCCGAATTCTGGTTAGGCCACTCCTCAGACTTTGTACTGTATCACAGATGGTAATGGGGGTCTCTCCTGGTTTTGGGGAAAGGTGGATCTTCTGCTGATGCTCCCCTAGTCTTATTCATGCTGTTACTTGGCCTGTCTGGGGAGTGGGGTGGGGCAGGTGACTTTTCTGCAGCCTCTGTCACCCATATTGCCAGGCTGTCTAGGCTGGCTTCCTGGGTCAGAACATCATCCTTCTGCGTAGCAGTCTGTGGACACGCAGCCCCTAACACTCCAGCTCAGTGAGAAAGGATGATCTTTCAGATACAAGATGATTGTTTTAATCAGCGAGGCCCTCCACTATTTTTCCTTTTTCCTTTTTTTTTTCCCCAAGAGATTTAGACATTTGACTTACCTCCTTTTTATTTTGATTTCTTTCTTATTTTTTGTTAGTAATCGAAACTGATTTAAAATTTTTTTTATCAAAGTCATGCGTTTATGTACTTTCAGAAATAAAATAATTTTTAAAAACTTAAAATAAAAAATACCAGTTCATATCCTTTTCCTATACCCCAGTAGCCACCTCCTTTACTTTTTTAACTATTATTTTTAGGTATCAGCCCCTATGTTTCTACGTAACTGGCAGTTCTTGGGTTATAGTGGCGTCTGTTGACTTTTTTATATGGAAGATGAAGATTTAGCTCCTTACTGTCCTTACTTCCCTTCACCTACATAATTATGTCCACGGTTTTTGGATAAATCAGCATCCTTTATTCATATAAAAAGCTATGTGGGTGTTAGAGTTGGAGCTCATTGCTTGCATTTGAGGGGATTGCAGTTCCCCAGCGTTTTCTAGTGACCAGGGGAAAGCTTGCTGTCTTGGTCTGAAGAGGGCAGGATTCCCACTGTATCCAGGCTGCCTGTTTTACCATTTATAATTAGTTAAGATATATAGACATGCTATATAAATGTTAGCTCTTATTACTCCTGTATTATAATTTAAGCCAGACCTCATTTAATCGAGTTCTGAGGAATGTGTGTATGAATAAGCTTACAAGTACTTTTGCCAACAGCTGCGTTTAAAGAAATATGTAAAGTCCAAGTGTATGTTTATGTGTTTGTTACAAGTTTTGCTGCATAGATGCTTCTTAGCTTTACAGCTCAACAGGCAGAGGAAAGTTTGTGTTGACAAAACTATTATTATTAATAGTTTTCTGTTTATTTCACTGGAGAGACCTTATAGGTTATCAGTTTTAAGTGTTTTGCTTTTGGCAGGTTGCAATGATTGCTATCTTAAAAAAGGCATGTACAAGATGTATACAGATTTCCAAAACTGGGTTTTTCATTCTTGTCTGTTGAAACTTATCTGCTACTGAAAAGTCTAAATTAGGTAGTCTAAATCTGATACTTTGCCTTTCTGCTTTCTCTTGTAGTTTTCCCAGAAGGCTTATACTATCCTTAATAATATAATATTACACTGATAATAAGAAAGGCCCTTGTATTTGTTTTAAAATGTAGACAATCACTTAGAGGATAAAAGCTTCTGAGTCACAAACAGGCAGGCTGAGGATTGGCTGGTGGAACTGATGAGACTGTTGGGAGACGAATGTCTTGTAAAAATAAGCAATCTGAGAAAAGAGCTAATGACGAAATGTCTGAGGGGTGTGGGTGGAAGACAGTGACTCCATTTGTTTGTGAAAATGCTCTTTTGGCATTCATACTAATTGGTACCCCTTGTGTGTGACACACTGTGGTTCAAAAGTGTGTGTGTGGGGTGTGTTTAGATAATGAGTGTCTGGTGAGGCAGAGAGAAGTTCCATGGCTGTTAGGTGCTGCTCAGCAGAGGCTGTGGGGTGTGGACACTCTCCAGTGGTAGCTCTGCACTGGCTGGTGAAGAGTGTTTGTGCTGCCGTGGTCTGTGGCACACATCTGTGACTCAGCACAAGCCTTTTTCCTGCAGCTCCCAGTCCTTCTCTAGGGGCATCTCAGGCCACCTATCTTAGCTGGCCCCTGAGATGAAACCTTTGGCCATTTCTGCCTAGAGTTTCATCCAGGAAAAATGAAGAAAAAAATTACAGCTAACTTGTCTACTCCAGGATGGAGACAAAATTAAATTAGATTGATCTGAGATTCTTTGCAGCGAATGCTTCATAATGTGGTATATAGAGTTAAATTTGGGTATAAAAGCCAGTTCTGCCTCTTATAAGCCAGGGGACCTTGGGCTAGTTATGATATTAACCTACCTCATTAAAGTTGTTGGAAATCTTAAATGGAATAATATGTATTTTCTTACTATAATGCACACTAAAGTAGGTGGTCAGTAAGTGGTAGGGGCTCTTATTAATCTTATAGGCTAATTGTCACTTTACAGTTTTTTCAAAATTGTATTGTTGAGTATATGGTAGACAGAAATAGAGTACTATGCTTTGCAGTTTTAATAAATGTTGATTGTTATAGAAAGAGCCAAATTTTAGTAGGTTTTTGACCCAATCACCATGGTTATGGGAGAGTGTCTCTCAGATGATATAGCTGTTCATAACGCAGAGAATGAATTTCCAAATTATAAACACAATACCAGGAGGAAATAGACTCTAATGTAGTAGCCTGGTGAACTCAAACCTTTAAAGATGGGGTACACATGATGGAGTGCATCTCATAGTTTTTTTGTTTTGTCCCAACATGCTTAAGGTAATGGGATGTATTCTCATCTAGTTGACTCTGTGGCCTCCCTGGGTGCCTTGGTGAGTCATGGAGGGAGACGAGATTCAGGGCCAGACCAGAACTGGTGGTTTCGTCCATATGCCCCACCCCAGTCTCACCCCATTTTCTTTCTTTTTTTTTTTTGTCTTTTTCCGTGTCCGGCAACGGTTCGCAACCCTCAGTGTCGCCCCCGTACCGGACCGGGACCGGCAACGGGATCGCAACCCTCGGTGTTGCCCCCGCGCCTCGCTCAGCCAGTGAGCGGGAACCGGTCTGTATGTGGGATCCGAACCCTCGACGGGAGCGCCGCTGCGCTTCCCAAGCGGCGCACTAGCGCAGTGCGCCACCGGGCCGGCCCTCACCCCATTTTCAAAGGGAGTGTTAATGAGTATACTCCTTCTTTCTTCCCTGTGTTCAACCCCAGAAATTTCTTAGGGTTGTGCATTTTCTCCCTAATTAATGTTGACAAAACGTGTGGTCCTTAAAGTACCTTTCCTTTGCGAGAAGTCGTGTAAGACTGCTGCCCTACAGGGAAGACAAAAGCTTATTATGCTAATGGTATTATTTAGCAGTGTCTAGATGAGTCTCTCTTATTTTAAGGTCTAGGGGAGATGCTAAATAATAGTGAAGGCAGGAAGCATTTGTTTATCTTAGGTATGGAGAACAAAAGCTCATATGAGCAGAACGTTTTGTCAATATTTTGTTAATGCAA